AAAAAAAAAAAAAAAAAAAAAATTAGGAAATGGGAGATGCCGCTCACCTGCTTGGGCCACACGCCGCCTGTAGTTGATTTGGCTTTCAGAGGCATCACACCTTATGGTATTTCATCATCAGTGCTTGCAAAGATGGTAACCCTACGCCTCACCAGGGAGATACAGGAGACTGGATTGGAACGTTTGGGGGTCATAAAGGTGCTGTTTGGGGTGTAACTCTGAATAAGGATGCCACCAAAGCAGCTATAGCAGCTGCAGATCTCACAGGCAAACTGTGGGATGTTGTGTCAGGAGATGAATTGATGACCCTGGCTCATACACACATTGTCAAGCCAGTGGATTTTACACAGGATAGTAATTATTTGTTAACTGGGGACAAGATGAACTATTATATATATAACTTGAACAAACCTGAAGCAGAACCTGAATTAGTGGGCACACCTCTGGTATTAAGAAGGCTTTATGGTGCAGTGAGGATAAACAGATTCTTTCAGCTGATGATACAACTGTTCGATTTTGAGATCATGCTACTACGACAGTAGTGAAATCTCTAAATTTTAATATGTCTGTTAGTAGTATGGGATATATTCTTGAGGGAGAGATTTTTTGACAATCTATTGCTTTTCATAGTGCAGTAAGTTTGGACCCAATTAAATACTTTGAACCTCCTGCAACTATCAATTCTGCATCACTTCATCCTGAGAAAAAATTGCTTGTTGCAGGGGGTGAAGATAGTGGAGAAGAATAAGACTCCTACAGAGGACACTTTGGTGAGATTTAGTCCCTATGGAGAGCTCTATGCCAGTGGTTCTAAAGATGGGACATTAAGACTATGGCAAACTGTGGCAGGAAAACCATATGGCCTTTGGAAATGTGCACTTCCTAAAGAAGACAGTAGTGAGCCAGCAAAGCCAAAGACTGGTTTACCAGAGACAATGGAAGAAGAGCTTGAAGAAATTGCTTCAGAGAATCCAGATTCCCTCTGTTCTTCAACTCCTGAAGTGAAGGCCTGAGCCAGACGTGAGTCACAGATAGTATATACAACTTATGGAGTAAAACAAGCAAGCAGTGAAAGCATCAGCTTTCCAGAGTTACTCTCTGCTTAAGGCAAACAAAGAAATAAATAACGGGGAATGACTGGCTCAGCACCTGGAGCACAGTGATTATGGTGCCAGGCACATGCACGGAGGCTGGCAGGTTCGAACCTCACCCAGGCTAGCTAAACAACAATGACAACTGTGATAAAAAATAGCCGGGCATTGTGGGGGGCGCCCGTGGTCCCAGCTACTCTTGGTACCGGAGGCAAGAGTTGCTTAAGCCCAAGAGTTTGAGGTTGCTGTGAGTTGTGATGCCGTGGCACTCTACCAAGGGTGTCATAGTGAGACTCTGTCTCAAAAATAAATAAATAAATAAAATTAAATAAATAATGGGGAATGTATGAATTAGCTTCAGTGTGTGAACAACTAACTTGGTATTACCTGTAAGTGAAAACTGGAGAGTGTCAAATGAAGGCAGGGATCTTGTACAATGGCCTGTTGTCTTTTTAAAAATGAATATGTGTGGGTGGCACCTGTGGCTCACTGAGTAGGGTGCTGGCCCCATATACCAAGGGTGGCTGGTTCAAACCCAGCCCTGGCCAAACTGCAACAAAAAATAGCTGGGCGCTATGGCTGGCGCCAGTAGTCCCAGCTCCTTGGGAGGCTGAGGCAAGAGAATTGCCTAAGCCCAGGAGTTGGAGGTTGCTGTGAGCTGTACTCTACCAAGGGCGACAAAGTGAGACTGTCTCTAAAATAAATAAATAAATAAATAAAATGAATATGTGCAAGCCAACATCCAATTTCTCTCATTTAGATTTCTTGTAGCTGTTTATGTTACTATAAAGAAGAAAATTATACTGACTTATTTTTCTGACTTTTCCATTAAAGCAGAATGCCTTTTTTTTTTGCTTTAGTCATAAAGAAGAGGGAATATATGATAAAGTAATAGGTTTGATTTCTCTTTCATTGTACACTGCTTCTGAACATCTCATCATTTTTAGTTGTCTAAATAAAATGTCTTTAAAAAAAAAGATTAGGAAATAGGGGAGCAAAGACCCACAGGTGCCTGCAGGTGCCCACTGAGCCTCGCTCACTGGGAGCAAATAGTCCGGGAATAACCTAAGCCCTCAGCACAAGGGATTTGTTTAACCAAGCACGGTTTATCTGTCTGGAACACAACATGATAAAAATCATATTGTAGAAAAATATTTACTCACATGGGAATGTTTCTGATATACTGTCAGATTTTTAAAAAGATCAAATACAAATGATCTGGCCACTGTGAGAACTTGGCCAAGTGTGTTTCTCTCTCAGACATTCATACTGTCACATAGGGATAACAGTAGAAACTCCTTCGAAAAATTTGGCAAGACCAGACAAATGGTAGCTGTCATGATGGACATTGAAAGAAAGATTCTAAGGCTGTGTACCAAAATGCACAGTCTCAGCATAGAAATTTATAAGTGATTTTTTAAAAGCCTGTCAGTCTAATTCCCATGTATTAGCCCTTTCCTGTTTGGACCTTGACCTCTGCACCCACTCCTGGACCCCATCTCCCAGTCACCTGGCAGTGCTGGTTGATTTGGTCACACACGTGTCCCGCACCCCAACTTCAGGTCCTGTGACTTGGATACCCTGGGCTGTGTGTGCAGAAGTTGGAGGTTATTATTGGGAACCTATGCCTCAAGGCTTCAGGGTTTTTTTTGTTTTTGTTTTTTTTCAACTGAGACAGAGTCTTACTTTGTTGCCCTCTGTAGAGTGCTGTTAGGTCATAGCTCACAGCAACCTCAAACTCTTGGGCTCAAGTGATTCTCTTGCCTCACCCCTAGTAGCTGGGACTACAGGCACCTGCCACAACGCCCAGGCTGTTTTCTTTTTGTTGTTGTTGGTTTAGCAGGCCAGGGCTGGTTCAAACCCACAGTCCCCAGTGCATGTGGTCAGCGCCCTAACCACTAAGTTGTGAGCATCCAGCTTAGGTTTCAGTTTTTCTTCTGTAAAATGACAGGAGTGGGTTGAGTTCCACTAGGACCCCTCCCCTCACTCTTACCTGACCCTCCCAGCCCCCACCCTGTAGGCTCCTACCTTCTGGACCTGTGAGGGGCTCAGGCTGGCCATGGCGACAGCTCAGGGCACTTGTGGCTCTGGGTGCTGTTATCTGGGTGAGGGAAGAGGAAGTTGAGGAGTGGCTTGGCAAGAGCCTGGGAGGACTTAACTCTTCCCTACCCAGAGAAAACTCAATGCCCCCTCTGCAACAGACCAGACGTCCGCCTCCAGGTTGACCCCAGCCCCACACCCCCACCAGGGCTTTATCTCTGTCCTACCCCCTGCCTGGCCTCGCCTATCTCCTTCCTGATTTTTAACCACTCCCTCTGGCTTTCTTTCCAGAAAACACTCCTGGCTGCTGCTTACCAGGCACCGGGAAGTTGTCCTCAGAGACTGTCACATAGCTAAGCTGGCAGGAGGACACCTGAGTCCCAGTTCAGGTGGCGTCATTATCTGGAACTGCCCCTCCCTGGTGCTCAGTCTGGATAGGGTGGGGTGCCGGGTAGGGCTGAGGGACACAAGCCAGGCCAGCCCTGAGTGGCTCTGCATTCCCAGGGTGGAAGAGGTCCTGGGGCAATCACCAGGGTCCCTCCCAGCTCTGATGTCCTAAAACCCTCCAGGTCAGTGGTTCTCAACCTTCCGAATGCTGCGGCCCTTTAATACAGTTCCTGTGGGTTGCAACCCACAGGTTGAGAACTCCTGCTCTAGGTCCTGGGAGGATTATGGGAGTCAATGCACTAGGGTAGTAGAAGAGGAAGGGCTAGAGAGATGGGGCAGAGAGAGACTGTTCCTGTTCCTACAACAACCTCAGGTGTGGGGCCTGCCCTGCCCAGCACCTGATAGGATGGCCAGTGGTCTTTCCTGAAATGACGTGTGTTCCGAATAGCAAAGGGACGGAGTGTCTCGGGAATGAGCATGGGGACATTGCTCAGCCCTTGAGAGGTTTGGCCCTAAGTCAAGTTGTTTTCTGGGCCACCGCACTAGGAGCTATGCTGTTTTGTCCAGGCTTCCGGAGGGCCTAGGGGGAGGGATGAGTCCAGCCCAGGCTCCTGGCTCAGAGGGGTTAGGCTGGGTCAGGGGCAGGCAGAAGACAGAACTGAAAGACTCAGCGAAGGCAGGGCGTGACCGCAGCTGTCCTAGACCCTTCTGATGCAACTGCCCCACAAATACAAACACCTGCCATGTGCCAGGAACACATACTGAGCCAGCAACTCCCCTGGGAACTCCCACCAGAGGCTTGTAGAGGAGGCTCAGTCAGGCAGGCGGGGTTCAATTCCCAGAAGCTTAGGCCTTACTTTCCCCATCCGCAATTTGGGGATAACATCTGCTTTTCCTGTGAGCAGATGAAGATTGTTTTTAAAAGTGTTTTGGGCTTCCCCAAGTTGTTCCAAATTGCCATTATAATTAGAGAAAAGAAATCACTACTGTGGTAGTGAGTGTAGAGTGGAGCACCCTGGGTGGGGGGTGGGGGAACAGGAGAGGCTTGGCCTTCCACTATTTGTTCCTTCTGCTCAGCTTTAGGAAGTGGGTGGGCGGTGTTTCTACATGGTTGTTTTTTCCAAAAGCTAACCAGCTCCAGACCAACTGTCCTGCATTAGGCGGCCCCACAGCCAGGGCAGGGTGAGAGTGGGGTGGTGGTGGAGGTTGGTGGGAACAATACCAGACCAGCGAGGAAGGGAAGAACCAAGTAATGCAAAGGAAGGTCCTGGATGTGGGTAGAAGTCCAGTTGCTCAGCCTCCCTGTCAGGAAGTCCAAGCCAAGGGAAGAAGAGGGAGGGTCTTGGCTTAGGCCTGAAGTCACCTGGAGGGGCCAGAGTGTCTGTGGACCAAGGAAGGATAGACTCTGGTCTGTTCCAGGAGACGCCCAAGCAGCAAGTCAGGCCAAAGGCAGATCTGATGGCTTTCCTTCTTCCTTCACCCAGACTCTTGCATGTAATGTTGGCCCCGCGCAAGCCTCCCTGGTCTGGGATGGAGATATAAGACCATGTGTTGGGTGGGAGGAGCCAGGCCTTCTACCACAAACTCTCCTACTCACCATTCCTTGCAACAATCCTGCCTGTCTGCCACTATACCCTGATTTTACAAATTGAGAAAACAAGCCTCACATCAAACAGATGGCAGAACTTGGATCTGAAGGCAGCTCTGTCTCCCTCTTGAGTCCTTGAACCCACACCTCAGCAGACCCCAGCAGGGCGGAGAGTTGAGTCAGGCCATTGCGATTCAGCCCTGCCTCTGTAGAACCCTGAGATTTGCTGTTGGAGCTACAAAGGACCTCTGAGAGCACAGAGTGGAGATGCCCATTATACAGACAGGAAAAAGGAGGCCAGGGGAGGGAAGGGGTCCATCCTGCTTTAGTCACAGGACACTCTCCTGTCAGTGCCTCCTTTCCCAGCACTGCTCATCCAAACCCATGAGGACCCAAACCACATGTGGCTGGGATGGCAGAAAATATGCTGGCTGTAGGGTTCCTGGCTGTCCCCTAACGTGCTGCCTGGCTCATAGCCACCAGTCATTGCCTCCAGGACCCCAGTCTCACAGGACACAGATGAGCAGACTGAACTATTCTGTAGATGCCCGAGAAATGGTCACTCAGCAGGCCCCCCATGACAAGGAGACCTCCAAAGGCTACTTTTTGTTATAGATTTATTTGATATTGGAACTGAGTCTACAAGTTCAGACCCACATGTAACGGATTGCTTCGTGGTTGTCGGAGGCTAGTGTGCATTATTTCTGAGGATTACATCCAAGACACAATGCGAAAAACAGATGGACAGATGAACATAATTGTTGAGACAAGAGATGCTAAAATGTGCCTTAGTGTCCACATGATTGATCTAAGGCAGGGACCCTTCTAAGGTGGGGACCCAAGTGACTGATCTAAAGCAGGGTGGCTTCCTGCCACCAGGTGCTAACTGGCTATGTGTGTGTTAGGCGTCTGGGATAGAAACTGGCTTGGAACCAAAAACTGGGGAGCCTGCCTTCCCAGTGGTGACTTGCCCGTGCCCAACTCCACCTCCAGTTGTCTGCTCTTCATGAAGAACCAGGCGGTGACAGGGCTGATGTAAGCAGCAGAGGCCTATGGTGGCCCTAGGCATACCTGCGACACATGAGGTGGGGCAACAGAGTCCAGGTGTGGTAGCTCCTCTTGGCTCCTTAACACTGTGCATGGAGAGTGGTGTGGGTGCAAAGAGCAGGGGAGGATGAGCACCGTTCATCCAGGGATTAGCCAATCCAAGTCTCCTCCTTTCTTGGCAGCTCGGAGCATTCCCTTTGGCCAACAGCCACAGAAACGCACGCCTGCCAAGAGGCATGGAGGAGAAAGAAAACAAGACACACAAAAAAACCCCCAAACAAACAAAAAATCCAACCCCAGGAGAGGAGAGGAACAAACAGAACTCCTGGGACCAAGGTCACACCAGACTGGGGAGACAGCCTGCATCCCGCACCCCGGGGAAAGAAAACACAATCCATTGTCTCACTGCTGTGCTCAAGGGAAACTGCCACCCCACCCTGAGACCCCAACTCACTGGCCTTTAGTGTCTTTTTCATTTTTTTAGTATTTTTCTTTTTAATACCCAAATCATCGATTTTCAAAGCTTTAAAAAAAATGAAAAACTTTTCTTTTGACGTAAAAAAAATCTGCAATTGCCAGAAAAACTGATAAAGTAAGCTCTAAGCCTGGCCTTCCCACTTGGCTACCTGCTCTCCCACGGGCCGCCAGAGCCCAGCTCAGCACCACTAGGACAACCCTCCTGGGGCTGGTTCACCCTGGACTGCTCTGCTCAATTCTGGGTGGGCACTAGATGCTGGCGGCATCACTAAATAAGAAGGGGAAACAGACCACCCTTCCTCAAACACCTCCCATCTGGGCTGAACTTTCTTGGGAATGTATAAGTTATCTGGAGGAAGGAGGCGGGAGGTGGAGAAAAATAAATACCAAGAGCTAAGTAAGTGTCCCAGGACCTCCAGTGGCAGCTCAGCCTTTGGGGCAGAGATGGCCTCCACAGAAGAGACCCGATTGTTCACACACCACGCTCTGAGCCCAACGAGGTCTCTGGTCTCCCCGACAGGTGCCTACCCTGGGCGGGGCGTGAGTCTCAGAGGGAGAGAAGGGGCCAGCCCCGCAGATACTGTCTTCTCGCTCTGGCCCGACTCACATGTGGCCCCAGGCTCCTGCCTGGCCGAGACTTGGGCCTGCTTGTCCAGGAGCTCTGGAGGAGCAGGGCCTGGCCCTCCTGGCCTGGGGTCCCACTGCTGGCTGCTCTGGGCTGGCCACACTCAAGCCTGCTCCTTGTCGGCCCTCCACAGCCGTTCCTTCACCTCGGGTGGCAGCGTGTTGAACAGGTCCTCCTCCACCACCAGGCCGCTGCGCTTGAGCAGGGGGCACTCGCCCAGCTCCACAGGCAGGCACTCTAGCCGGTTGCCGCGAAGCTCAATCTGTGTGAGGTTGGTCAGCTCGCCTACCCTAGAGGGCAGCGACTGTAGCACATTGTTGCCCAGGTGCAGGGCCCGCAGCTTCCGGCACTGGAAGAGCTCTGGGGGGAGTGCCTCAATCTGGGGAGAAGGAGTAGGGGCAAGAGTGAGGTGGGTGCCTTTGGGTTCCCTTTCCTCCTTCCCATTTCTGATCCCCAGGACCCCAGGCACCAGCACAGCCTCTAGGTCAGGTCTTGGCTCTACAATCACTTCCTCTAGGAAGTCTTCCTAAACCTCCCGGATCCCATGGTAGCCACCCCTCCTCATAGCACCAATCCTTCCATTTGTCACCCCACAGACTTTGTGGCTCTAGGAGGGTGGTCCAAGCCTGCTTTAATCACCACCAGCTCCCAGGACCTGGCACCATGAGAAGCTATCACCCCTCCATATGCAGGGCTCACCAGGGGTGAGGCTGCTGCTTCTTCCCAGCTTAAGAATGACTTATAGGCTCGGCGCCTGTGGCTCAAGCGGCTAAGGCGCCAGCCACATACACCTAAGGTAGCGGGTTCGAATCCCCAGCCCGGGCCCGCCAAACAACAATGATGGCTGCAACCAAAAAATGGCCAGGCGTTGTGGCGGGCGCCT